AGTTTAGAAAAGTCTATAACTGTGGCACCCAACTCAGAGTCCTCTTTTTCATCTTCCTCCTCGGTCTGTTTGACTTTTGAGGTTGTCTGCTCTTCCTCCACTTGCATCTCCTCCAGGTCTCCTTTAAATTTTTCCAGAAATTCTTTGGCTTTATGAACAGAATTCAGTTGAAATCTTTTCTGTTGGGAAGTAAAAAGGTGTTATTCATATATACAATGAAAAAGTGAAAGAGGCTGTGGGTGGGAGAAAAAACATTATTGTTGCAAAAATGGAAATGACAGAAAGATACTGTTTAATGTGTAAAAGGGAAAATTGCAAAGCACGTAGTCAAAGAAAGCAAGAAATAGTTAAGATTAAAAGAGGCAGAGAAAATGAATAGCTTTGTTTCATCCACAAACCTGGCCAGCTCACTGCTTACCCCTAAGTAATTTATGAACAAGTTAAAAAGCACCAGTCCCAACACCGATCCTTGAGGGACTTCACCTCTTACCTCCCTCCACTGAGGAAAAAATGTTCATTTAATTCTACAGTTTGCTTTCTGCTTTTTAACCAGATAGCAATCCATAAAAGACAGGTGTCTGCTTAGATGTCTGCTAAGTTTACTCAAGAGCCTTTCTGTCAAATAGCCAATTCTATCAAAGGCTTTCTCAAAATCCAAATACACATTGTCAAGAGGATCACCTCCATCCATGTACTAGCTGACATTTTCAAAATGCTGTAAAAGATTGGTGAGACAGGGTTTATCTTTGCAGAATCCATGCTAATTATGTTTCAACAAGGGTTATTCCCCTATTTCATAGTTTAGATTCTCTTTGGTTACCATTTCTACCAATTAATATTAAACTGACTGGCCTAGAATTTCCTGGATCTTCTCTGGATCCCTTTGTAAAAATTAGTGCCACATTACTATTTTCAGATCTTTGGCAATGAGCCGGATTTGAGTGACAAGTTACTTATTTTTGCTAATAGATCAGTAATTTCACATTTATTTTAAGATCTCTTGGATAGATGCCATCAGGACCTGGCGATTTGCTATTGTTTAGTCTCTCAAAACATCCTAAATTACTTTGTTATTTCAATTTGCTTTACTTTTTCTTATTCCCTACCTGAATAAGTCAGTTCAGTTTTAGGTAGCTGCCCTATAACTTCTGCAGGAAGTACAGATAGAAACCATTCATTCAGTTTCTTTGCAATATCCCTGTTCTTCTTAAGGAACCCTTTTAACAGCTCTGTTGCTTCCCTGGCTGTTTTTTTGCTTTCAACATAATCGTTGAAAAGTTCTTCCTTATATTTTTTGCCTTAACACTCCTCAAATTCTTATTTTTTAAATTCTTTATCATCTTACATTTTTTCTATCAGAATGTATACTCCTTTTGTTCTCATTAAGACAAGCCTTTCGTTTCCATAATGGAGTTTTCTTAATTTTAACAGCTTCCTAGATGTTATTAGTAAGCCATGCTTAAATTGAACTTTTCTTTCAACAAGTCATTGAAATATGTATGACTGTGAGAAAGAAAGTGAATAAGCTTGAATTATGGAATGTTTCACCTGAATATGGAGTTGAAGGTTGGTTCCCCAATGCCCAATAAGATCTGGCAGAGAAAATCTTGGAGATTGCCCTGCTGGGGTTCCACTATCAATGGAACATCATCTTCAGGGACCTCAGGAGGGAGACTTGTTGGTGATTGCCCCCATCCTTTGACACAAACTAACCCCAGATATTTGATACCTCATCCTTTATTTTTGAAGAGCCAAGAAGATATGGCTCTTCAGAAAGGCATCTGAGGACAAATGAAGTTCATGCTATCCCCCAGATGGTGGCATATCTGCATGACTGAATTGTTATTAATGCTTTTGTTTATAATCCTGTTATACTGGCACTTTCTAAGCAACAGAAAGTTCGGAAACAGAATGGTATATAAACTGAAATAATAAAGAAATATAAGAGCAGTATATGATGGAAGCATGCATTAGAATTAATGGAATGTTCAGTGTTCAACACTGATCACAGAATAAACCAAGGATGTGAGATATGGTTTAATGTTTTTATAGATAAATGTATAAGGAACTCTTATGATGTGTGAAGGCTGGGGACGTATGCATACTTTTATACACAGATAATGACGTTGTGGCTGAGAACCTCAGTGATTTACAATAATTGCAGTAAGAAGTGTGGATCTAGAAATTAATGTATCAGAAACCAAAATAGTTGTGGAATTAATGTTTGCAAGTTTATACATAGCAAAAAAATTAAAGCAAGTGGATGAACCTCAGTAGAATGTTAACTAAAGTTGGGAAAATAAATGGAGAAATGTTGAGATGTAAATGCTGATAAAAAGGTAGTGGCTAGATATGATCCGTTGCAGGATATTAAAACAAAAATTACTATAAATAAGTGTGGGCTTCTCCCCACTTGTTATATGGAACTGAGACTTGAGTATGTCAGGAGTAATGTAAGTTGAATGAAACAGAAGTGGCTTGGTCACAGAGAAAATGAATAAAGATTAAACTGCAAGACAAATATATGAAAAACATGAATGAACTGAGAGGAAAGGGAAGTTTGAAAAAGTAGAAATGGGCTCAGGCTGATGAATCCTCAAAAAGAGAGCAGCTTTGTATTTCTTACTGCTTTTTGTGCTCTGTATCACATGACTTATCCAGGAAGGAAATAGCATGTGAATCCAGTCATTATAGCATGAAAACCATGAGTTTTGTGGCTTTTTTTTCCTGTTATTGTGAACCAAGTGACAGTGGCTTCTTAACAAGTAGTGGTTAAAACAAAAGGCCTTATATCAATTGGAATATGAAAGTGGTAGAAGCAAGGATAGTTTGCAAGGATAAAAAAGTATGGAGCAATAATAATGAATGGTGTTGGCATAAAATAGATTTAATTACAGTTGTTTCTTTCTTCGTATCTCCTGCTTTTAATTTCTTTGGCTTATGACTTCATACTCATTTATATACTCTGCATAAAGTTCTTACTCTTTCAAAAATTAGGATGATACATGTGTGTGTGCGTGTGTGTCTATACCTATGCTAATATTTTTATTTCAGATGTACAAATGAACATGAGCACTATACTCATAGGCATTTCTTTTGATCTTCTGCTCTGCTGCCACCTTGGGACTCCTGACAAACCAAAACAAAACAAGCTGGCTTATACTTCATTTTAAATTTAAAGTTGATCAGTTTTTCCTCTTTGAAGTGCCTGCCCTTTAGTTTATTGCATTAGGGTGATATATGCTTATCTGTATTAGCCTCCTGAACTATATTATTTATTTAGTTCTCTACACATAAATCTTAATTTTTATAGTAATTGTATTAAAAATTACAATTAAAAAGATAAAAACTAATACAGACTAAAAAAATAAAAGAAAAAGAAAAAATAGAAAGTGCAGAAAAGAAAAAATAGAAAACAAAGAAAAAATAAGAATAT